TTATTGTGCCTTTAAATACTTGATTTTTTAAAAAATATCTTATTTAGCTCTTAAAATTGTTATCTGTGAAATGGTTTGCATTACCACTTCATATTGCCATATTACCAGAAGTTCTCTAAATGTAGGTCTGTTTTTTTTTTTTTTTTTATTAACATATAATGTACTATTTGTTTCAGGGGTACAGGTCTGTGATTCAACAGTCTTACACAATTCACAGCGCTCACCATAGCACATACCTTCCCCAATGTCCATCACCCAGCCGCCCCATCCCTCCCACCCCCCTCCACTCCAGCAACCCTCAGTTTGTTTCCTGAGATTAAGAGTCTTTTATGGTTTGTCTCCCTCTCTGGTTTCATCTTGTTTCATTTTTCCCTCCCTTCCCCTATGATCCTCTGCCTTCTCAAGGTTTTTGTTTTGTTTTTTCTTTTTAAGATTTTATTTGTCAGAGAGAGAGAGAGCACAAGCAGGGGGAGCAGCAGGCAGAGGGAGAAGCAGGCTCCCCTCTAAGCAAGGAGCCCAATGTGGGACTCAATCCCAGGACCCTGGGATCATGACCTGAGCCAAAGGCAGATGCTTAACTGACTGAGCCACCCAGGTGTCCCTCTAAATGTAGTTTTAATCTGCATTTCTCTTATCATTAGTGAAGTTAAACATCTTTTCATATTTTTAGGTCTCTTCTTTTATCTTTGTGGATATTCATATCTTTTGCCTATTTTTCTGCCAAGTTTTTGGTCATTTCTTTTACCTGAATTTTTTAAAGTCCTCTGTATTTTAGGACATCAGCCCTTTGTGTGATATATTGTATCACTTTCTTCAAGTGATACATTATTTCTCTCAGTTTATCATTTGTCTTTTTATTTTGCTTATGGTCCTTTTTGGTAAGGCATTTTTAAAAATAAATTTTTATGTAGCCAAGCTGAGCAATCTTTTATTGCCTCTGGATTTTGAATCATAGTTAAAAAACCTTTTCCTATACCCATGTTATAGAGGAATTCACTCATATTTTCTTCTAGTACTTGTATGTTTTCATTTTTTTACATTAAGGACTTGGATCTATTTGGAGTTTATTCTTATAGTATGAAATATGGATCTATTTTATTGTTTTCCAATGGTCATTAGTCACCTCCGCATCAGTCACTAAAAAGTTCCAGTGATTGGGGTGCCTGGGTGGCTCAGTTGGTTAAGCGACTGCCTTCGGCTCAGGTCATGATCCTGGAGTCCCTGGATCGAGTCCTGCATCGGGCTCCCTGCTCGGCAGGGAGCCTGCTTCTCCCTCTGACCCTCCCCCCTCTCATGTGCTCGCTCTCTCTCATTCTCTCTCTCTCAAATAAATAAAATCTTTAAAAAAAAAAAGTTCCAGTGATTTGAGATGCTATCTTTATAATACACTAAATTTCCATATATACTTGTCTGTTTTAGATTTTATTCTATTCCATCAGTCTGTCTTTTCTTGTGCTAGCACCACATAAGCATAAAGATATTATAGTGTTTTATATATTAGCATGAGTCCCTCTCCTCATGGCTTTTCTTCTTCAGTATTTTCTAATTTCTCTCACATGTTTATTTTTTCCATATGAAGTTTACTATCAACTTTTTAAACTCCATAAAATATTTGCTGTTATTTTTATTGGGATTGTGTTACTTTAATAAATGAATTCTGGGAGAACCATCTTCATGACATTAAGCCATCCTATCTAAAACCAAGAGATGTCTACATCTACTTTTGTGTCTTTCAGGAGTGCTTGAAAGTTTTTCTCATATTGTTTTTGCACATTTCTTAAGTTTATTTTAGGTAGGTTGATCCTCATTATTTGTGGATTCCATATTTGTGAATTCACCTATTCCTTAAAATTTATTTGTAATTCCAAAATCAATAGTCAGTACATTTTGTAGATATGCATATGCTCAGAGTGGTGAAAAATGAGTCACCCAACTGCCTTGTTTCAGCTCTCCTGCTCTAAAAAAGTGTCCTTTTAATAATATATTTTAATGCCATCTTTTCCACATTTGTATGCTTACTGTTGGTGATCCTGCTGTCTAAAATGGTCCCCAAGTGTAGTGTTAAAGTGCTATCTAATATTCCTAAGTGCAAGAAAAAAATATGGGTGTTAAACAATCTTCATTAAGGCATGAGTTATAGTACTTTTGGCTGTGAGTTCTATATTTATAAATATTTATTAAATAAGTTGTCAAACAGACACACAATAGGTTATATACTGATCAGTTAGTGAAAATGATGTGATCAGAGGCTTGCAGGAACTTAACCTTGTACTTCACTAGGGGCAACAATTTGCTAAATTCAGTGTTACAGATACCTTTACAGAACATAAGTACCATGAATAATGAGAATCAACTATATTTTATTTTATTTTTTGCAACTGTAAATGAGGTTTCCTCTATCAATATATCTTCTAATTGATTATTATTGAGTATATAAAGGCTACTGACTTCTGTGTTAAATTTCTATTCTGCCACCTCACTGGAGCACTTACATTGTTCGAATTACTCTTATCATTCTCTCTGGTTTTTCAGGTATGTTCTTTTATCATGTGCAAATATAATTTTACTTTTACAATTCTAGTCCCCTATTTCTCTTGTCTAAATGTGTTGGCTACAACAGTTTCCCCCCTTTTAGGACAGTTTTGCATCTATGTGGAACTGCTCTGAGTTGGTAATAGGCTAGGTCATTGATCCAGAGTCCTGGAGTTGAAAAGGAACTCAGAGGTAATGTCTGTCACTTGATGGATTTTTTTATTTTTTTATCACTCAAGTGGTCATCCAGTCTCTTGAACATCTATTCCATTTCTTCTGGTAAGAGCATATCTCTTTCAAAGAGTTACCCTGTGCCCATTCCACATAGTTCTTGTATGGTTGTCAATCACTCCATCCTGGCCCCACTCCTCCTGGCTTATGACCCAGGCCAAATATATGGGGTGGCCATAAAATCTGAATGCATAACTATTATTATTTTTTGACAGACTGAACCCCATTTATTACTTCTTCTGGCATATGCTAAAAGTGTAGATTTATGCAGTGAAAATCAAACATACAAATCACCTGAGGCACTGAATACAGATGTATGTGCAGGGATGGAAATAGCATTAATGCACCACTGCCATTACTCTGTACAACCAACTATCTTTAAAAGAGATTTAAATAATAAAATAATAAAGCCTTATGTATACCAACATAGTAACTGTTTCTGGTACTCGTCATCATCTGTGCCATTTCTGAGTTAGTTTCACCTCATTATAGGTCTTATTTCCTTGCTTCCTTGTATGCCTGGTAATTTTTGATTGAATGCCAGACACTGTAAATTTTACTTTATTGGATGGTCTTTTTTTATCCCTACAATTATTCTTGACCTTTGTTTTGGGACACAAGTTACTTGGAAATAGTTTGATTCCTCTAGGGCTTGCTTTAAAGCCTTATTATGTGGGACCAGAGAAGCTTTTAGCCTAAGACCAATTTTGTTCCACAGTTGAAGCAAACCTCTTCTGAGTACTCCACCTGAGGCCTCTCAAATAAAGATATCTGTTTTATACCCTGACTGGAAGAAACAGGAGATATTCCCAGTCCTGTGTGAGCTATAGGGATTGTTCCCTGTAACCTTTTTGAAAAGTTCTTTCTCCAGCCTTGAGTAGTTTCCTCACAGCCACGTACTGATCAATAGAGATGAAAACTCAAGGGGGCTTATCTACATATATCCGGAGTTGTTTCTCTGGGTAGCTCTCTCCTCTCCAGCCCTCTATCCTGTAGACTCCAGCTGCCTTGGTTTTCTCAGAATCCTAGTTTCATCTCCTCCATTCACTGAAGGTACCAGGCTCTGCCTAGGTTCCTGCTCCCTTTGCTGCAGTGTGGAAACTGACTCCAGGAAGTAAGCTGCACGCTCATGGGGCTTACCTCACTTGTTTCTCAGAGATCACTGTACTTCATTGCCTATGTCCAATGTTTTGGAAACTGTGGTTACATACATTTTACCTAGTGTTTTAATTGTATCAAGCAGGGGTTTGGGAATGAAATCAAGTTCCTGTTATTCCACACCAGCTGGAAGTAGAAATACACTGTTCTTATTGTGATTTCCCCCAGCACATATCACTTAACGTCACTGAGAATATCATGCATTGTAATGTAATATTAACAAGGTTTTCTTATGTATATTTGTCCTGTAGTTCTTCATTCCCTGCACATGCCTCTAAACCAGACAACAGTGATTGGTCCAAAAATAAAGTGGAGATGAAGAGAGGTAGGACAGATAAGGTAAGTATCTTCCAAATGTCTGATAGTATCTCTCTGGAGCCTGGCATATCATCAACACTCAGAGATTGCTTGTTAAATAATTGAAGGAATGCAGGCAGACTTACATGAAGGCTTGCAAGCAAGCACGAATGAATATGACTTGATGAATGGTTTCTTCCCTACCCCACAAGTTCTCCACTGTACAGACCAAAACCTGATGACTACTCCAGAGCTTTTCTGCCTATGAGAAACCTCTGGGTTCTGGGGTGGGTGGGCAGCAAGCCTCTCCACACACTATCTCACACCTTATTCTGGATCATTTCCCCACTTTTCAACTCCTTCCTCACTACACTACCACTTTTACCCTGATGCTGAGTGGATTTCTCTTTTTCTTTCATATTTTTGGAGATAGATCTCTCCTTTAATTTCTTTGCCATAATCCTGGTGACATCCTAGCTTTCAGGTATATAAACACCATTTTTAATTAGGTTGCAAATTTGCTGATACTCTAAAATCTATCTTTTCTATTTGCAAAAAGCATCCAATATTTTTCTTATTCGTAATCTGTACCCTATTATTATATAGCCCTGGGGCTATTACTGACTAGAAAAAAGAGAATTTGGGAGAGCTATTTCATTTTTGAAATTAGTGAAGCTAATTTCACTAAGAAATTAAGAAAAAGAAGTGAATACTTTTATGTTATTGCTAACATGTATTCAAAGAAAACAGTAATAAATAAACAATACAATAGTTTTGAAATGTTTCCAACGTAAGAGTTTTTATTCTGGTTCTGCGCTCAATTAGAGGTACCTACAACAGACTACAAACAAAAATAATTAGGAAGGGCTCAATAAAAATGGCCAGAAATCAATAATTTTGTTTTGCAGATCTCAGACAAGTTACTAGGTCTTAATTTCAGTCTTAACATTAAGTCATAAAAATTCCTAATTCAGATAAGATAATCAATTTAAAACAAGACTGCAGGCTTGGATTATAACTACCTTAACTTCCCCCAAAAAGCTGAAAATCCTATGACAATAATTTGTCAGATTCAACTTCTGGGTATGTAGAATTTACCAAAAGATTGAGTATAGTGTGGTGAGGACAGGGAAAATAATAGGAAAAAGAATGGAAAAAGCCAGAGCCAATAAGCACAAACAGACCGGAGATCCAGGTGGGGGATAACAGGTAAGTGTATCTGTTTTACAAACAGGATAGGAATGGGTAGAATGAAGGGCGGCCTTACCTCAGCAGAGGGGCTAGTTCCACAGTGATGAGGGGCTGAGGTCTGGGCAGCCCTGGAAGAATGCTGGCTCTCTTAAACATAGTTGCCACTAGACTGCTTTAAGGTTTCTCAGCAATGGTCCTCAGCCCTTTGCTGCTGTGGGTCGTTCTAGGAGGGAAGGGCAGGGCTGCTTGAGGTGGAGGTATGGCAGCAATGGCGTGGCTGGCTGACTCCTAGACCCCGGGCTGAGAACCTTCTCTGAGGAGGTAGATGTCAGCATTATTTAAGGGTGTTAGAGTTTTTGCTGTACTGGGAACTAAACTGGCCTGGAAACTGGGGAGTGACCTCAAGTGCACTATTCTTGAGAGAGGTTTCAGGGTGTTCCAGAGATAGGTGATGTCGTCCCCCTCCCACCTTGGGCTGGGGGTGTTTCTTGGGGTTGGACTCTTGGGACCTGATGCCATGAGAAGAGTCATCTGAGTCCGAGGACACCATCTCCTGGAGAGGCAGCCTCTTGGCAGGTTTCTTTTTCTTCTTTCTAGGGTTCTCCTGTCTTAGCTCTCGTAAATCCCCAGTGTCAATTTCTTTGAGTGGACATATTAAGAAAGTAGAGTTCTTCGTTTTTACATCCTCCCTACAGAGAGAGAGAGAGAGAGAGCAGTGTTATCCTGGTCTTGTTGGCTGCTGTGTCTGCAGAGATGTCCAAGCCAGCCCTGTGGTGTTTCTCAGCTCTTTGTCCCTTGGACTTCTTCCTATGGAATGGAGTCGCAGAAGTCCCATGGGGTCTGATAGTCTGGGCTGGGCTTTATTCCATGCAGTTCATTTCCACAGATCTTTGATGTCTGGGAGCTTCGTGTAGTACAGAGAACCTAATATCATTTGAACCCTGTCCTGACCAAGTCAGTGAGTAAAGCAACAATTCCTGACCAAGAAATCCCTTGACATGCCTCAGAATTGACCTGTGTCCACCCCAGGATAAGCTTGGCCACATCATAGTCCAGCTCACTCCTGACATACTGAACTGGAGCTTGTACAGCAGAGACACTCTTCTACACTTAGTTTTCCCTAATTACTCTAGGTGTACCATCAGAAAAAAGTACCCCAAATTAAAAAAATGATATGATTTTTAATTTAATTGACATTAGATATGACTAAGAAGTCATAGAGCTAGTTTTACCATTTAGAAAATATATAGTGTACATGATCAACTAATATTTGACAAGGGAACCAAGAATACTCAATGGGGAAAGGACAGTCTTTTCAATAAATTGGAAACACTGGAAATCCACATGCTCCTGTCTTACAACACTCACAAAAATTAACATGAAATGGACATAATAAGAACTGAAACCATGAGACTCCTAGAAGATAACACAGGGCAAAAACTCCTCTACACTGGTTTTGGCAATGATTTTTTTAGATACAACACCAAAAGCACAAGCAACAAAAGCAAAAAATGAATGGGACTACCATCAAACCAAAAAGCTTCTGCACAGCAAAAGAACCAAACAACAAAACAAAGAGGCAACCTAAGGAATGAGAGAAAATATTTACAAACCATATACCAGATACTGGATTAATGTCCGAACTATATAAGGAACTCATACAACTTAATATCAATAATCTGGCAGAATAAACTGTTATTAATTACTGAAAGAAAAAAACAACCCAAATAATCTGGTTAAGTAATGGGCAGAGGACCTGAACAGACTTTTTTTTTTTTTTTTAACAAAAAAAGACATACAAATGGCCAAAAGGTACATGAAAACATGCTCAAGGTCACTAATCAAAAGGGAAATGCAAATCAAAACCACAAGGAGATATCACCTCACACCTGTTAGGATGGCTATCGTCAAAAAGACAAGAGATAACAAGTATTGCTGAGGATGTGGAGAAAGTGAGCCCTTGTACACTGTTAATGGGAGTGTAAACTGGTACAGTCACTATGGAAAACAGTATGGAAACTCCTCAAAAAATTAAAAATGGAACTACAATATGATCCACCAATCCCACTTCTGGGTATACATCCAAAGGAATCTAAATCACTATCTCAAAGAAATATCTGTAGCCCCATGTTCACTACTGCATTGTACACATTAGCCAAAATATAGAAACAACCTAAGTGTCCATCAGTGGACGAATGGATCAAGAAAATGTGCCATAAACATATAAAATTCATAAACAATGGAATATTACTTAGCTATAAAAAAGAAGGAAACACTGCCATTTGTGACAAGGATAGACCTTGAGGGTATTATATTAAGTTAAATAAGTCAGAGAAAGACAAATACTGTGTGTCTCACTTATATGTGGCATAGAAACAGAGAATAAAATGGTGGCTACCAGGAGCTTGGGGGAGAGGGTGGGGGAAATGGGAAGATGTTGGTCAAAGGGTATAAAAAAATAAAAGAAAATATATTGATCAGTTTATTTATCCAGAACTGTTATCTTTCAAAGAAGGGATCTTGGGAACATCATGACTTCATTCTAGCCATGCCCTCATGGCACACTGTTTTGGGAACTTGCCTTTTTCGGGGCCTTCAGGATGAGTTAAAAACACCAGCTGCCCAGGCTTCACTCTGAATAACTTTTGACCATTGCTGCTTCAGATCCTTTTGGAAGTTACGAAGAAAAAATTAAGCGTGGGAGAAGATTTTTAGTTATTTCTAAAAAGAAAATTACATCAATCAAGGATCAAGTTTCACCACATGTGATACTTTTCAAGGATTGGCGCAAAGACTCAAGAGGTAATTCCCAAAAGGGATTAAAAAATGGCCTTCATGAGGATAGCTATGATCAAGAAAAGAAAAAGCAAAACCAAAAAATAACAGATGCTGGCAAGGACATAGAGAAACTGGAACCCTTGTACATTGTTGGTGGAAATATAAAGTGGCAAAGCTGCTGTGTAAAACAGCATGGCAACTCATCAAAATATTAAAAATAGAACTACCGTATGATCTAGCAACTCCACTTCTGTGTATGTATCCACAAGAAGGAAAGTAGGGATTCAAACAGATACGGACACTCATGTTTACCGCAGCATTACACACAATAGCCAAAAGGTGGAAGCAACACAACTGTCTACCAACAGGTGAATGGATAAAGAAACTGGGGTATATACATACAATAAAATATTATTCAGCCATAAAAAGGGACGAAATGCTGGCACACGCTGTAACGTGGATGAACCTTGAAGACATTATGCTAAGTGAAAGAGGTTAGTCACAAAGGACAAATACTGTGTGATTCCACTTATATGATACACAAGGACTAGTCAAAATCAGAGAGACAGAAAGTAAAATGGTGGTTGCCAAGGGCTAGGAGTGGAGAGGGAATGAGCAGTGAGTGTTCATTGGGTACAGAGTTTCAGTTTGGGATGATGACAGAATTTGGGGATGGCTCATGTGATGGTTGCACAACAATGTGAATGTACTTAATGCCAACTGAACTGTATGCTTAGAAATGGTTAAAATGATAAATTTTATGATTTGTGTATTTTACCACAATAAAAAAAATGTCACAAGCAACTGTAGTAACATTGGAGAAAGCATCCCAGGAGGCCACCAACAAAATTTCTTGAAATAGGAGGCCAGCACCTATGTGGATGTGTAAGTTTTGTGAGGCTGGGTTCTCAGAGACTCATCCTAAAATCACACAGCAAGGTTGTAACACCATACCTGCTCTGTAAAATCTAAAATCTTACCTACCAGGGCACCTGGGTGGCTCAGCTGATTAAGCGTCAGACTCTTCACCTTGGCTCAGGTCATGATCTCAGGGTCGTGAGATCAAGACCCACGTCAGGCTCCATGCTCAGTGGGGAGTCTGCTTGAGATTCTCTCTCTCCCTTCTCCCTCTGCCCCTCCCCCTGCTTGCATGCTCTCTCTCAAATAAATAAACCTTTATAAAATAAAAATAAAAAATAACATAAAAACCTACCTACATTACCATCAACTGTCCCTCACACTGTTCCCTCCCTCCCAAGCATCCTAAGTTGATATGTTCTATTTCCTTTGCAGAGATGTCCTCTATTCCCCAGGTATCAGGACCAGTCACAGTCCAGTCTACCACCTATAACCTCTCAGAAAGAAGAGCAACAAGGAGGAGGAATGGAAAGTAGCAAGAAAGGCACCCAAAGATGAAGGTAGAAGCGAGGCTGACCCGCCTACCTGAAGGATACCAGGAAGATGATCGTGGAAAGAACCCAGGAAGAAGAGCAGGAAAGCTCAAGAAGCAACACATGTCTAGCCCTCAGTAGGGCATTGGTCACATAAATCATGCACCACCTGGATAATTGCATTCTAAGTAGGCAATAATGAAATAAAAGGTGTCCTTGTCATGCCAAAATGCAAGTAATATATTAAGTGGGGAAAAAAGTCACAAACAATATGTTACATTTTCCTGTTGTTATTAAGATTGCGAACATATAAAGATAACTGGAAACCTTTGCATCAAACTGTTAATAGTTACCTCAGGAAAAAGAATTCCAGTAGGATTGTCACTTACTCCACATTAAAAAAAATTTTTTTTAACTGTCCTAAATGATAAGGGGAAACAAAAATTCTTATTTTGAAGAAAAATAATCAACATAGCAGAGAAAACACACTCTAGAAGGATGTATGTCAAAATATAAATGGTGATTACTTCTGAAATGTGGAGCTATGGCTGGTTTTTTTATTCTTCTTGTTTTTAATGTTTAAATTATATTAACTACGCATACTTTTGGAATAAGAGTAAACATAGGCAAGCTGTCATGATCAGAATAAAAAGCGGACTAGGATTTTGATCAAGGAAAAGCCTTTCCATCAAGTCAGCAGATGCAGCTCAGCTACCCCATTTTACTCTCCAGAATGACTGATGTCGACCAAGTTCGAGATATTCCACAAGGAAATGTCCCCTTGCAGGAGGGGGAATGGGGTAAGTGTGAATCTGATGTGAGAGTTCTTATCCAATGCCCCCACCCCACCATGCACCCTCATTCTGCTTGGCCCAAACCCACTCTGAGGAAAGGGGAAGGTGACCATGCTCCTGACTCTAGCCAGTGGATGTTACCCTTCAGCACACTTGGAAAGGCCCCAATAAATGGCTTTCTTTTGTCTTATCTCATGCCAAAACCAAGAAAAATTCAGCGTCCTACTATTTTAGGTTACAGGTTTAAGTAATGTGACAAACAGGTCAAAATCACATATGTGTGTCAGAGAGGAGGGGTAAGATGAGGAAAGCCAAGCACCGTGCCTTCACGGGTTCTTCAGATGCAGCTGGCTCTTGGGAAGAAAGTGCTGAGCACCTACTCCACACTCTTCTTGGGTCAAAACCCACTTCATTCGCTTGATTAGTGTCAGCTCCTCAGCTATTCTTGCTGGTTCTCCGAGGCCTCATTTCTTTTCTGCCCTAAGTGTGTCAGAAAGCTGGTCTTAGAACAGGGGGACCTGATGTTTTATAAAGACCACAAGGCCTCTGAGTTTTAACAATGGAGGGAGCAGAAAATGGAGAGACTGATACAAAAGGCTATTGCCATCCAAATTGTTACCACTGGCCTTCAGGGCTAACAAATCTCCATGACTCTCAACACTCTCTTGTTCCCATACTAGGGCCCCACAGCATGCTTTCTGAAAATAGGCAATGGCATTTGTCCCT